AGGCAAGAAGCACACCAAGAAGGACCTGAAGCTCAAGCAGACCAAGCGGGGCGACGCTCAGGACGATCGAGCTCAGCTTCGAGTACCTGCCAGGATCCAGAGGCACATGGAGGAACGCCAGAAGGCGGAGGAAACGGCATCAGTACCAGCAGAGGTACCGCAAGATCAGCCGGCTACATCATCGTCAAGTACGCGACAGCCCGCACAGGGCAAGCGCCAGGAACACCCAGTCACGATCAAGGAGTTCTTGCTGGGCGATGCGCCGATCAGCATCAAACGAGCACGGGCGCAAACTGGGCCAGTCAAGCAGCTGGCAGATACACCGCTGCTCGTCGAGGCGTTCGTGGCCGAGCGGACGCGCAGCCAACCGACGAGAGCCAACAAGCATCAGGAGATTAAGTTGAAGACGCTGGGCGACGACAAGCTCAAGTGGAAGAAGATGCAGCAGGCGGTGGAGAAGGAATGGAACACGTGGTGCAAGTACGATGCAGCAACCCACATATCAGGAGCAGCAGTCGACAAGGTCGACCCAGACAAGATCCTGAGCTCCAAGGTGGTCTGGACCGATAAGGACCCCACGACCTTCGAGCCGAAAGCCGGGATCTGCGGGAGAGGCTACGAGGAGGAGTTTGACGACAAGCTACGACGGGACTCACCTACAGTCTCAGCACAGATGACGTCACTCTTGTGCAGCATCGTATCAAGCCTCAACTTTGACCTAGTCATCGCGGATGTGAAGGGAGCCTTTCTGCAAGGCAAAGCCATCGCACGCGAGCTCTACTTTCGTATCCCGACGAACCTCGGGAAGTGAAACATCCCGGGAGTGAAGGCAGGCGACCTGCTGAAGTTAAACAAGAGCATCTACGGGACCAGCGATGCAGCTCGTGCGTGGTATGTGGCACTACGCGAGACGCTCGTGAAGCTTGGATGGGAAGGCCTGAGCTTCGAGCCCGCGACCTTCATCAAGCGCAATGCGAAGGGCACGATCATCGGGATCATGTGCCTGCACGTGGATGACTTCCTCATGGGCATCAAGCAGGACGACCCGGAGGGCGCCAAGATCATGAAGGACCTGAAGAAGGAGATCGACTTTGGCGAGGTCAAGTACGCGAGGAAAGAGCAGGCGACGTTCTGTGGCCGGGGCTACAAGCAGGACAAGGACGGCAGCATCAACGTCACCATGGAGGCCTACGTGAAGTCGATGCAGACTGTACGTATCTCCAGAGAGCGCAGCAAGGCACCAGATAGCGCCGTGACCCATGCAAAGCATCGTGGACTACGAATGGTAGTTGGACAATTGCAATGGGCTGCGCGGGTGATATGCTCCGAAGAGGCCTTCGAGGCATCCCGACTGGCATCTACGCTGGGAGCTCCGACGGTAAAGGACCTACAGGACGGCAACGCGGCCATCAGGTGGATACAGAAGCGGGACGACTTGCTGATCAGGTTCTCAGCAGGTCTGAACCTGTGGGAGACCATGGTGATCAATGTCACCGACAGTGCTTTCGACAATCTGCCGAAGCACAGATCACAACGCGGACACTTCATCATGCTGGGCGACCAGAAGATCAACGAGGACCACAGTAACAAGTACAATGTACACTGTATTGGGTGGCAGTCTTCCAAGATTCAACGAGTGGTGCGATCGGCGGAGGCCTACGCATGTGCGGATTCTGTGGACATGTTAATATGGACAAGGTCGACCCCGGCGGAGATCCTGTACCCGGAGATGGACGTGACCGAGATTGTGCACGACACTTGCCCGGTGAAATGCATTTCGGTGACCGACTGCAAAAGCCTATGCGACACGATCACAGAGGAGAAGATTTCTATGACGGACAGGAGGCTTCCTTTGGAAGCGGTTATATTGCGGCAGTCACTCAAAGAGGTCAGCATCAAATGGGTCAAGAGCGAGCAGATGCTAGCGGACTGTTTGACGAAAGTACTTCCAGGAGGCTACGCGAGGAAGATAGTTACATCAAACCTGTGGACTCTTGGGCCTGATGGACCAGAAAAGGTAGCAGCCAACAAGGAGGTAGACGAGCTGAACGCGAAGATGGCCAATTACGTCAAGCAGGAGCTGTACAACGACACCGGGAAGGACGACGAGGAGATCTCTACGTGGCCGGTGGAGACGCACAACTACGTGGACGAGTGCTTCTACGACGACATGGGCGAGGTTCAAGACGAGGACTACGTCGAGGCATTCCACACAGAAGAGCTAACGGACAACTACCTGATGGAGAGGAGTGGCGCGCAGAGAACCATCCAGATACCTGACCAAGCTGTAGTTATGTTTCAACTTTGTGCACTTGCAGTGTATGGAGTTTGTCTTTCGATCTCTCCTGCGGTGGTGACAGTGGTCTCTATCGTCGCGGGTATCACCATATGCATTTACGCAATGAAGCCTAAGCAGAACGACGACGAGGACATGCTTGATCCGATGGAGGTGGATAGTTCAAGCAGCGACAACCTGTTGAAGCCCGAGTTGCCCGAGAAGCAGGTCAAGGTCAAGTCCAGGACGGCGAAGGCTACGCCGAAAACTACAACGACAACACTCGCAGTACGAGCCGATCCAGCGACCTATGACGATGATATCATGGGAGATGGACCAATCATGCTGGGAGATAGTGCTCTACTGAGACAGTGGCTGGAGACCATGGGACCGACGATTATCAGGAGTGGCAAGTACGAGGGCGACAGCTTTGAGACGATCTATACGAAGGACAGGCACTACGCAAATTGCCTAGGACGGTGTCTCAAGCTGGACGCAGACGAGAGCAGGAGTTATAATCTCGACCCGAGCATCAAGGTTTACATTGCATACAGCATCATCAAGTCAGCAGTGCGTGTGCGCTGCGGATGATGAGTGATTGGAGTTATCTTTTCAGATGATGAATGATGTTTGGTCACCATCTGCAGATGAGGAGTGCAGGCACCCCCTCAAGAGCTCAGGTAAAGATTTCATATCGTAATATCTGTTGCTCGGTGCGCAGACCTCAGGTAAAGATTTTATAGGTTGATCAATGCGTGGATTTCTTTCTTATTATATGTTGCTCGGTGCGCTGACTTCTTTCATATTGATATATGTTGCTTGATACACGGACGGTAGTTTGACCGTTCGAGCAGAGAATATTTGATTTCTTGTATTGGTTGATTGGTGCACGAACGATAGGTTGATCGTTCGAGCCAATAATATTATTCAATATGCTGGAGGCTTGCTACAGAATTTGCCAAGGCATTCTTTAGCAACGTTTCCTTTTCCTGTGTGAAAGTTGTATTAGCAAGGATGTGAGTTATAGGATGATGTTTTAAATTATCTATGTTGCTGCTCTCGCTCGCTCATGCTTGCAATCTCTTGTTCACTATTGCCATTTGTGGCTTGGACCCGCCCAGCTGTGGCGGGAGGGTAGACGCATTCTACGACTGTCTAGCTTGACATCGGAATAAGATCAGAACACACTCTATATATTTCTTCTTGCATCAAGAGGTTGTGGGTGGAGAGATCAGGATCAATATTTACACTTGAGCCATGCTCGGCTAGAGGCTGTCGGAGGCTATCTTGCGCCATGCTCGGCTATCTTGGGCCATCGTGAGGCTGCCTTGAGGCCTCTTGGAGGTCTGTCGGAGGCTATGTTGAGCCATGCTTGGCTATCTTGGGCGATTTTGAAGGCCATCTTGGGCTATCTCTGGCCCTCTTGGAGCCATCTTGGGCCAAAAAGGGCGGGGTGGACCCCATGTCTCAAAAAGAGGAGGCGCCATAATTAGGATCCCCCCTCGGAGGCTCTCAAACGGCGTCTTGGGGCCGTCTTGGAGCGTTCCTGGGCGCCTCTTGAGCGATCTTGGGGCCGTCTTCGGCCTTTTTGGGCCCCTCTTGGGGCCCTTTTGGGCCATCATGGTGCCATCTTGAGGCTTCCAACGCCCATCGGAAGCGAAAAGGCGAGAATGCCAAAAACACTGATATTCCCCAGGTTTTTGAAGGGTTTTGGCATCTTGGAGAGCGCCGTGGAGGGCTCGAATGGCACTTGGATCCGTCTTGGGGCTGTCTTGGGGGGCCTCATCGGTGTATGTCGGAGGCTATCTTGACCCATCTTGGAGTAACATGGGCCATCTTGGAGGCCATCATGCGACTTTGAACGCCTCTTGGAGCAATCTTGGGCCATATTGGACGCTCTAGCGCCTCGCAACGTGCCCCGTCCAGGCCCAGGGGAGGGGGTAGGGGGAGGGGTTTCAGTGGAAGAGAGAAGAAACAAACGCGTTATACCACCTATGCCCAGAGGGCTGGTGGGATTTGGGTGGGTAGGTCGGCCAGTGGGCCAAGGCCGCACCAGTGCAGATAGGGATCCGTGAAACGATGCTCATAGACGGCACATCGGTTGCAGACCGCACGCGTGAGTGCCAGCACAGTGTTGGTCGGTCTCTGAAGCGGTCTGCGCAATGCTCTGGAGCGGTTTTGTTATCATCTCAGTCGGGGGGCGTCCAAGAGGGGGGCGAGGACTGAGGGCGTGTGCATGCGTATCATGGCCGGGGCCATGACATCTTCCCGATATCATGGCCCCGGCCACGACGACGACGACCACGACGGGCGACGACGACGACTACCACGACGACCAAGACGACGACGACGACGAAGACGAAACCTCGAAGCCCCGAACCCCTTTCCCAATCCGACCCGAGACGGGTACACCCTTTGGCACGTTTTTCTTTCAGTGCACCCCTTGACACACCGCTCGTCCGCGCGCGTGTCTCAGGCCACAGTGCGCTGACCCCCCATCCCTCTCCCTGGCCCCCCTCTTTTTAGAGGCGGATTTTGTCCATCACCATCGCCCTGGGAGATCGATCTCTGGGGACATCGGCAGGCGGTGGATATGCATATGTGCGGGCCCGGGGGGCCGAATATAATCACATCCCTCGCCTGACGAAGTCGCCGAAGAACGGTCCTCCTAGGCGGTGGTGATGGATAAATCACCGCCTCGCATCTTCAGCACAGCCGATCTCAG